AATAACCCGAAAGCCCTAGAGTAAACAATGATGTGCTGCTTGACATTGAGTCTAGGCAACAGGGTTCGTGTTCAGAAGGGCTGACATAGTTTCAGCTGCATTCTTCAAGTCCCGCGTTGTCAGGGGCTCGTCATCATTTCCAGAGGAAGCAGAATTGCTGAGACGGAGGAGGGAAGACATACTAGCAAAGGCTTCAAAGGCAGGTAGTTCAGCTTTGATGACGTCTTTCACCAGCTGAACCCAGTTATGCATGCGGGCCAAAACTTCCCGAAGCACCATGCCAGTGCATTGATCCGGCCCTCCCAGCTTCTTGATCCTTCCATCATCCCTCTGAAGAAGAAGTGGCTGCTTCTCCAACAAAGTCCTAAGAACATGATGAGTGCACGGAGAGAGAAATAAGGCTACTAACTGCACACTGCTCCCCAAGAGTCTTCAAGTAGTGGCCATATGTTCCAGGCGTGTCCCATAGCCGGCCATGTGAGAACAAGAATGTTATCCTTGAGACAAACCTCAGATTCATGCACACCGTAACCCCCTCTTGATAAACAGAACAGACTGCATGCCAAAGTCACCAATCCGTTGTATGAGATGAGTTACCGGAAGAGCTCCTCCTGGAACATGACACCATCCACATCCTCCTTGTCAGCCAGCCGCACAATAAGCATGTGCTCGTCATGTGCGTCGGCCAGGGCAGCCAAGGTCCTGAGAAACAGTTAATGATTAAATTAAGTAACTAAATTTTAAGATGCCCTCCATCACCACGCTCTCTTGAATCCAAGCCCCAGACAGGATCATACGAATGTCTGCCGCACACAGCAGCCGTTCCATTGCCCGGCCCTCAACCTTTCCAAAGTTTGGGAGTAGAGAGTTCACTTCAGGATTTAAAGTTTCGGGCTTGGGTTTTTTTTGGGATTGAAATTCACCGACCGAATTTATCAAAGTTCGATAACCCCAGTTTTCAGGGTTTAGGGTGTAGGGTTTAGGGTTTAGGGTTTAGGGTCAAAATAAGCTTAAGGCTCCCACTCTAAACATAACATCAGCAGCTGCGAGCCTTGTTCCTCCTCTCCACTGCCACTTGCTCAACGAGCATCATGATAGCAGGAAAATGCCGCACAGTCCGGCCTAACGGTGTTCGTAGTGATTCATACCTGCCAAGACATTGAAATTCAGCTGAAACTCGCCTGCTTATTACAGTTGTAAACCCCCCCCCAACTAGCCTGTGCTTCGCGGCGCTGAGGGATGCAATGCCCACTCCATCGTGCTCGAGGAGGCTCACGAAGCGGGCCTAAGGAAAGCACTTAGGATGATTAAGGTTTCAGGGTTTCAAGTTCAAGTTGTATTTAGAGATAAATAGCAATTGGCGAGGGTTTGGGGTTTCACCTAGAGAAGTCGAAAGTTGAGGGTGAAGGGTTACAGTAAAGTAGCCGGCCAGGTTTAGGGGTTTAGGGTTTAGTAGGGGTTTAACGGTTTATAAGTTTAGGGTTCAGGGTTTAGGGTT